TCAAGAATGAAATCTCAAATAAGGGTTTTTCATTGATCAAAGGTTGGTTTGCCCGTAGGCATAACATCCTCTATTTATAGAGGTTACAAAATTAAGAAGGAAACAAATATCCAAAAGATTCTAACATATTGTTTTTAATGCTAATGGAAGATTCTTAGCCACTAATTATTCCCTTTCCATGTTTGGCCAACTTGGGCATAAAGAATGTCCTTCTTTCTCCCCATTCCTTTGCCTTTCCATGTTTGGCCAACTTGGGCATCAAGAATGTCCTTGTTTCTCCCCTTTCCTTTGCCTTCCCATATGTGGCCAACTTGGGCATCAAGAATGTCCTTCTTTCTCATCTTGGACGTGGATGACATTGACCTCCTGGCCCATGAACGAATTCGACTCCAAAGATGGAAAATGCTCTGCCAAATAAGCTTGAAGTCGACCTTTGAATGCCTTGGCTTGACTTCTAGTGATTGGACCACGTTCCTCTTGCACCAAAGTTGGACTTGTGATCGCCTTGGTGTTGATGTCCTCATCAATTGACCGCTTTGCCGGCAGAGGCAAGGAAGATTTGACCTCCATGGACTCATCGTTGTCCTTTCCAGTGGTGGCGGTGGGTTCAGCCCCGCGCTTGAATGTCTTGTTGCTGAAGCCTCCATCACAATAATAAGAATTGATGGTGCAAATCATGGCTTCTCTCCTCGTTGGGGAAACCAACTTCCCTTTTAGAAGCGGATTCTCATCCCGCTCCTTTACGGTCGGAGCTGTACTGGCTTGACCCTTCTTCCTTTTCCACCCATAGAGAAAGTGGCGATCATCACCAAACAATCCCTAATATGCTCCACGTTGCTTTCTAAATCCATGAGTGTTTATTTTGCCATAGATTATTCGGTCTCTAACGTGAATAATACCCATGGATATTATTTTGATACCCAATAAAAGGACATACCTTTGTATTTTTCGATGATCCTTAACCATTTGCTGCTTTCCCTCATGATATTGCTTTACGGTGAGGTGTGGTGAAACATGAGCGGCCTTGGCTGTTGATTCGAGCGGCGACTTTGGTTCAACAATGAGTGATGTCGATTCTGTTGTGCTCACAGGTGGAGAGATAGGAGATGCAGTAGGCTCGTCGCTGACACCTAGTCCCGCCACTGCCATCTTGCCAAACCCTGTATCTTCACGATTTCCTTCTTCTCCATTGTGCTCTCGGCCACCGTCCTCCAACTTCCTTTTCCTTCTGAATTTCCATGAAACACCAAATTGAATTAGGATAATTCGTCGTTCTTTCCCATCCTTCAATTCAGCTTCCCAAGGGATCATCTCCCCTGCCTGATATGCTATTTCGTTGCTATTTGAGGCGATCGACAGGGCAGCTCATGAAGCGATGGATAGGTTTGCGACTCCGGTCATTGAGAAGAGAGGAGTTTCTGCGTCAACCTGAATAACCACACCGGTCAACCCTTGGTCCATCGTTTGAGAATCGCTTGAAACCCTTTGGTAGGCGGAATCAATCCGAAACTGCACGTTTGCCTTAGGTGGTGTAGCGATGGTATCGTTGATGCATATGTCAACGACGACAGGTTCTTGTGAGGAAAGCTCCGTTACAGGAACTATGGCTTGCACTGAAGGCACATTGAGAGAGGTAATATCATCCTCTTCGTCGACGGCATCAATTGTGTCTTCTTCCTCAACCTCTTCCGAATCGGCAGCTTCAACTTGCGGCGATGGTGCGGTAACTCTATCGTAAGCCTTGATGGCTCTACGGCAAGCTGCCATCGCTATATCCAAGGATGTCATCATTTGATTGATGAGTTCATCTCTGGATGGGTTTTCTGAGCTGATCATGATCGAACACGGATCGACGGCTCTGATACCAAATGATACGGGATAGATTTGGATAGCTCCCTTTTCTTGGTGGGAGTAGACCAGGTTTCTCCTTTCTTGGCGAGAATGGGCAGGGATTCTTAACTCTGAAATTGTCTACCCATTATTCATTTCATTCTGAATATAAATACACCAACGTTTGCCAAAAGGAAAGCCTAACTTTGTGGAACTAATCCCACGTTCATCTAACCATGAACTCCTAAACTAACTCCACTAATTATGTAAACAACTCAAACAATCTAACAACTAATTATGCTGACTCACTCAACTAACACACTATTAAAATAAAGAGATCTACAACCGCAAGCTTCTTTTGATATGGGCTGGCTACTCTACTGGCTACTTCATGTAGTTGCGGTAACGTTGTTGGGCTGCGTTGGGCCCTCGAGTTGCATGAGTTATGGACTCATCAGCAGTCATCTCTTTTCTTTCATGAGTTTTTATTTTCAAATAGAAAGTTTACAAGTAAAGAATAATTAGAGTTTGGAATGGGTCGGTCAAACAGACTGAATTTCAAGTTTTGGCCTGTTTTGATCAAGTCTAATTTATAATCACATGGTTCCCTGATACCCGATAAAAATCTCAATCCAAACCAGTTTGGCAGGTGAGTCCGTGTTTACCACCATTTTCTAGGGATACAGGAACAGTGGTTCCTATCCTAAATCGTATTGTTTATTCTTGATTTCTTTAGATTTTATCATGGCTTGGCAAAAAAACAGAAAGCACAATGATGACAAGATAAAAGTTTTATAAAGCAAATTAATCGGCCAACGGGCCGAGTAAAAGCTAGCAACGATTGTGAGATGCTCATTTCCCGAAAACCGGCAGGATAGGTGAATTTTTATTCGATTTTGTGGAATTCGGTTTCTATAAAACTTACTCCACCTCATCATATTACCAGAAACAATATTATTTCACAAGGTAACAGGTACTTGATTTTGGTTCATAAGGCTGATTTTTGATTCGTTGCATCATTCATGTCTCTTTCCTACTAAAATTCACTATTTTTATCACGTATTTCGAAAAAAAAAACTATACAACAATAAGCTATACACCCCATTATATTATCAACTTTCATACCTCACCTTCCTCCGGCCAAATGGCCGGGGCATACGCTAGTATGATTATATGGTGACTACTTCGGTGCACTCACAAAAATGAGTGCGTTCAATGCACCCAATTCAAAAACTAGTCTTAAGGTGTCAGATTTTGAATTTTAATTTGTAGAATTAGTGTAATATTATGATATAACATATGATAACAACTAATTAGTGGATTACCCTAAGCCCTAGACCTCCAATTTTGAGTTCTATCCCTAAACCCCAAATTGTAAACCCTAACTCTAACCTTAAATCTCTAACTCTAAATCCTTCAAATTAAAGTAAATCTTCAATAGTTTTTGTGCAAATTCATGTGTTATTGTTCATCACATCATAAGTGATGATTGACATCATTTTGACATAAATCGCATGTTTAAAATGACGGTTATGAAGTGGGTGCACTAAATGCACAAAAAAAGTGAGTGCACCGAAGACGTCACCATGATTATATTTTGTCTTTGAATTTAATTTCCAACAAATACGGAAAAAACACCTATCAATGATGAATATAGTGGAGTTGATGAAGTCCATTGATGGTAAATAGGTGAGACCAATTATTTTGAAATACCCACATGTTTAATTTCAACAAAAATCTACATAGATGATAAATTATACTAATTACTATCATCGTATTACAATTGGCCCAACGGACCGGAATACAATCTAGTCAATAGTAAGAACTAGCATTCTTATTAGACTATATTTTTTGGTGCGATTATTAGACTATATTTTCTTAATTTTTCCTTCCCTCTTTGTAAACTGGATGGTTAAATATCGCCCTAATTTTACTATTATCGCCCTAACTTAAAACATGAAAATACTAAATTATCCTTCATTAATCAAACCATATCAATAAAATAAGCCACCGTAAAATCTCTTCCCCTCTCACCACCGCCTAACTTCTCCTCTCCAAATACCTCCGCCGCTGCTTCTCCACCGCCGCCCTCTATGCCTTTCTCCCCCATTTGTTGATGGCGCTACCACCCCATTCTTATTTTCTTCTCCCGTCGTCACTACGCCGTTCTCCCTCACTGCGTGTGTCTGCAACTCTGCTCAGGGGCGGACCCATGTGTTAGGGAGGTGTGTCAAGCGACACATCTCCATCCGAGTATTTTGTGAGAGACCCATGTTTTGTCGGTACAATTTTTTGGAATTTAGAATTTCCGACACACCTTCAATAATTATAATAGACACAACTTCAATACACTACGATGAAATTGATGTCATAAAATTTCCAAAGTACGTAAATATATATTATTTATTTTAAATTTTAGTTAACTTATGACAAATTTAGGGTTCTTTCCATTATTTAAGCACTTAGACGCAATGGTTTATTGCTCTTAGGTCTTAGGCATGGGTAATCGTAAGGAAGTTTTCTCCTTTTTCTCTCAACTGAATAAGTTTCGTTTCTTCTTGATCTTTGTAGCTTTCACATAGTTGTCTACCTAGTACCTAGTGACAAAAAATGCTTTTTCATTGGGAGTCCGGTTGCATATAGACAACCGCTCTTTATTATTGTCTATCTTATAAAAAAACCCTAGCGTTCCTTTTACCTCTTTCGATCCCACTTCTCGTTGTGTTTCACAATAAAATATAATTAAAATTTATTATTATTTTATTTCATTTTGTCGACCGACACACCTGTACGAGAATCCTGGGTCCGCCACTGACTCTGCTATTGTCTCTATACTTCCGCCGGCCGCCAACGTTCCTTTCCGTCTCCTCCCATGTGAAATTATTATTAAGATGATTTGTTAAATGAAGATAAGATCTTAAGAGTATGAATAGTCTTGTTAAATTAACAATGTTGAAAAAGTAATTTTTGCTAAATGAAGATAAGAGTCGAGGAAGGTATGGCAGGGGTGGTTGCGGAAATAAAAAATTCTTTAATTAAAAGATTAATGAAGGATAAAAGTGTAATTTTCATTTTTAAGTTAGGGCAATTAGGACGGGGATTAGCAGCAACCCCTTTGTAAAAAGGTGTGTATAAATTGGAACGGAGAACGGGAGGAGAACACTTTCAAGGCTAAAGCTTTATAAGTTTATATAACTACCGTAACTCGATCAAATCAATGGTGGGCTGGTGGCATAGGAGTAGTGACTGCCTGACTGGGGCCCCGACTACCATTAATGTCCGTTGTTTTTCCCATAACCTTTCCCCACCAAACTGTCCTAATCCTCTCTCTCTTCTCTGCTTCGGCTTCCTTCCCAGTTCGCTCCACCGCCAATTCCTGTTTTCCTCCTACTCTCTCCCTTTTGTCTTCTTCGACCATTCTCTCTTCCAGTCCAAGCAGAGACCAAGTGGGAGGAAAGGAGATTGATGGAGGAGGTAGAGGGATCCTCTGAACTCACCACCCCGCCACTTCCTCACCACCGTGTTCTTCTCATCTCCGCCGGAGCCAGTCACTCCGTCGCCCTCCTTTGTATGTCTCTCCTCTTACTTCTTCTGTTCTGCCCTCGGACTCTTTGGATTCAGAAATTCAACATGCTGGTTCACTTCATTTCTTTCCCCCTTCCTGTTGTGTCGATCTTTCTGTTTATTAGTTTCGATTCCTGCTGTTTGTTTTGGTCGCAGCTCGCAATCTGGTTTGCTCTTGGGGAAGAGGCGAGGATGGGCAGTTGGGTCATGGGGATGCTGAGGATCGACTTTCCCCCACGCAGCTCAGTCGTTTGGACGGACACCAGATTGCTTCCGTTACTTGCGGTGCCGATCATACCACTGCCTATTCCGATTCCACCTCCGAGGTCTACAGTTGGGGATGGTTCGTTGACTTCTCAGCCTTACTACCCACTTCGTTTCATGCCATTTATCTGCGGCTGAGAGTGGCTTTCTCATGCTTGCTTGCTCTTGTTTTCTCTCTCTAGGGGAGATTTTGGCCGGTTGGGTCATGGTAATTCTAGTGATTTGTTCACCCCTCAGCCGATCAAAGCATTGCACGGTCTTAAGATCAGACAAATTGCCTGCGGGGACAGCCATTGTTTAGCAGTTACAATGGATGGCGAGGTACAGAGGTAAAAACCGTTTGTCACTTTTGGAAGGTTGGTGTAATGATTTCTCCAATGTACTCACTTTGTTCCGCATATTTTGACTGTAGTCATTCTCCCTGAATACGATTCCAGTTTGTAGACTGTGATACCGTATATTAAATTGATTCCTTGCTGAGAACGTTTGATTGATTTCCCGCTAACTTTTGCCGCCAGATGGACGAGGGTATTTTTAATATTAAGAAATTGTTCCTTTCACACCTTTTATTGGGAAAGCTTGGAACTTAGTGATCCACATCAGGTTTAGGGTGTCTTTAACATACTTGTGTAGCTCTCAGTGAGGTTTTTTTATATATGTGGGACAACATTCTGATTGATGAGCTTTCCTTGACCTATGAAGCTGGGGAAGGAATCAAAATGGCCAACTTGGTCTTGGAACCATGGAAGATGCTCTTGTGCCTCACAAAATTCAAGCTTTCCAGGTACTTTATGTTGTATGAGCATCAGCACCATATATGCATTGACATTATTTTCTTTTGACGAGGGTATTTGTGCCAGCATCTGGCAATAGCCTGAGTTTCGTTTGCATCCTGCACACCCTTGAAATCTGTTGTCCTATTCAGTTGTCAAGCCTTAAAATGGTTGATGATTATTTATGTTTTATTCTGAAAATGAATAATTGTGTAGGGAATCCGGATTAAAATGGTTGCTGCTGGTGCTGAGCATACTGCAGCTGTCACGGAAGATGGAGAACTCTATGGATGGGGATGGGGCCGATATGGGAACTTGGGCCTAGGTGATAGAAATGATCGCTTACTTCCTGAGAAAGTTTCGTTATCTAATGTATGTCGACAATGTGGTATCTTCACTTCATTGAACTTTTCCTTTATCTGATTCAGTGTTCGCTATGCTAGTCCTTCCAAAACCTTGAGGCAGATTATTTAGATAGAGTTTGGCTTGTTAGCTAAATCTCGAAGTATTTAGGGGCATTTTCCTCTGCCGTCCCTTTCCCCGCAAGACAAAAAAAAAAAAAAAAAAAAATCCCACCAGCATGCTCTTTTGCCTTCTCTTTCCTATTCTGTTATAGAACTCTACTCATGATGGCTCTACCTGTTCTTATTAAGCATGATAACTATGTTGGCCAAAACCTGACGTAAAAATGTCTTTAGTGGCCTACTCCAACAAATATACTTAACGATTATGCATTGATCTTGATGGATGCCGAGGAGAACTAAATGGGTTATGTCTTTTGTTCTGAGGGCTTCATCTTTTGGTTTGTCGATCCATGGTGGTACTCAAACTTATGATAGCAAGGAAATCTTATTATCTGTTTCTTGGAACTCTAATGATAAGTAAATTATACTGTCCCTTGCTCAGTATCAGTTGGGTTATTTCAACTTTATGTTGCAGGAAGAGAAGATGGACATTGTTGCTTGTGGATGGCGGCATACAATATCTGTATCTTCTTCTGGTGGTTTATATAGCTACGGGTGGAGCAAATATGGTCAACTAGGTCATGGAGACTTTGAAGATCATCTCACTCCTCATAAACTAGAAGCACTAGGAGAAAGTTTTATAACTCAGGTACCGGGAATTTGATCGGGAGAAGGCCTTACAAAAGTCAGGCATCCCTGTTGCTTTCCCTCCATTATAATCAGACTGTACAAAAAGGTTCATGTGGCCTTTAGGGTTTGCCTAGCTGTTAGTTCTACTCCTACCCCAAGATCCTGAAAGCAGAAGTCCAGAAGGAATGCCTTGTCTGATTCCAACTTCAGATTTAAATTTCCATTTAAATTTATTTTATGTAAGTAAGGCTGGTTTATCTTTTACTACATTGCTCAAATTTTGTACTCTTATTCTGACTTTGGCAGATATCAGGTGGCTGGAGACATACCATGGCTGTGACATCGGATGGAAAGTTGTATGGCTGGGGATGGAATAAGGTTAGTAATTTCTGATTGCATTAGTGTCTGTTCTTACATCAAACCAGTTCTTGTGTTAGGTTGTTATCACACCATGGACCAGGCTCTGGGGAAGGTGACATGACAGTATCTGTACACATCCTGCTAGTGTTGCAACAGTAGTATAAATCTGGGCCTGAGCGGTAGTTGAAGTAATTTTTATTCATAAAAGGAAGAGAATATTCTTCTACCAGTGACAAAACATTCACATACAAGGATAGAACAACATTATTTTTAACCCTGTTGTCCTCATAGATTATCTACTGTATGGGTGTCTTACTCATAACATATCATTTGTTTAGTTTTTATTTACCCTCTCTGGAAGGAAGCAGTGCAACTAGTTATGGTGTCCTCTTTACAGTTTGGACAGGTTGGAGTTGGTGATAATGCTGACCACTGCTCTCCTGTGCAATTAAAATTTCCCCGTGATCAGGTTCATTCTTGATACTTTTTATCTCATTATTGGCCGAGTGAGTTGCTTTCATATGAATGATCACTTAGGTGCCAGTGCCAGTCTGAACTCTGATGTGTGTGGTTTATGTTGTATTTGTCTGGTTATTGACAGAAAGTAGTTCAGATTGCATGTGGATGGAGGCACACACTTGCTGTTACTGATCGGCAAAACGTTTTCTCTTGGGGAAGGGGGACTAATGGACAGCTTGGTCATGGAGAGTCAATGGACAGGTACTACTTAGGTGACATGTGGCCATATAGTTTCTCGGTCTAGTTGTAATTAATGATATGGAATCTAGTTGTTAAAGCCTAGCATGTCGTCAAAAGACCAATTAATCCTTCCAAGTTTCACTCTTTTCTATTTCTAAAATTCTAACAAAGAATTACTGAATCTTAGAGAAGCGTTTGTCTGCTTCCATCATAGTGCAACTCACTGTTGATATACCTCTGAACAGAAATTTACCGAAAATGATTGAAGCTCTAAGCGCTGATGGATCTGGAGGTCAACAGTTGCCATCATCTCTAGTTGATCCATCATCAGGTGCCCATATTCTTTGTGTTGTAGTTATGCCTTGTGGGAGTTCTTTTGCTTTGATATTGATAGAATATTTCCTACTCTTTCACTTTGGCAGGCAAAACCTGGGTGTCACCATCAGATAGATATGCAGTTGTTCCTGGGGAAGCAGTAAGTTCCATGCTTCTTCTTTTTATTGTCGAGGCAGTTGCCATTACGGCCATTACCAATGCCTGACCTAGGTAGAACATCTGGGGGGTGGGGCCATATTCCGATCACATTAACATATACAATTTGGGAATCCTAATATTATGAAGAACAGTTGCCAGTAGTGCCATGAAGGGGCATATTTACCTTCGCATTGTATAAAAGGATTGAGAAAGTAAGAAACTCAGGCATGCAAATTTGATGAAGTTGATAAGATCAAGGTTCTTATTGAATGGAGTTTTTCCTAAAAGGAATCTCTCAGTTTGTTTTGACCATGTCTTGTGATGAATGGATGATTTTGCAGGATCAAGCGGACAGCTCGATGGGGGGTAACGGGAATGATCTAAGTGTTCCAGAAAATGATGTGAAGCGGATACGGGTCTGACGTTAGAATTGAGTGTCTTAGTTGCATCTTGATCGCCCTACTCCAAATGTAGCAGGCAAGGCTTAGTTACATATAACGCCGGTTTTGAATGCTGTGTTTCTCAAGAGATCTGGAATTAGTTAGTATGGACGAAGTTCTTTGTTGTTGTATGGTCCACCTTTAATATGGATTACAACTATCTAGTCTTATATAAACATTATTATTATTATTATTATTATTATTATTATTATTATTATTATACAAAATGTGAGATCAAATAAACGTCTAAAAATTAGTGGGCAGTCGAGCTACAATCTGGGTGCCCACCCTTTTAGCTACAACAAAGCTAAGTCTAGGAAAAATGTGTGCGGCCGCCCGATCCCCCATTTCCTGCGACACGGAGAATTTTTGGATTCGCTTGAGCAAAGTCACAATTGTTGTATCCAACTCTCTTAGTGAAGAAAAAAAAAAAAGAGCAGCAACAACAACAACTTTGTTCGACACCAAACTAGTCATACTAGGCTGAGTCAAAGGTAAAGACCTAATCAGATCGACACACACATCTCGCCCCTTGTCCTAGGAATAAAGCAGCAAATCTGCAGGACGCAGGACCCAAGGCTTAGAACAGGACAATGACGGATAACTTCCCGACGCATGGCCCCTGTTTACAACTAAAAAATAATCGTGTACCACATTGATTATTTACAAGACATTTATTTTCTTTATAAGGCCATATCATTAATGACAATTAATGCTATTTGAACTGGGCCTCATGATACTAGTTTTTAAGCCCAAACTACTAAGTCTCCAAGAAGGAGCTAGGGATGGCAAGAAAACCCGAACCCACGGGTACCCACCCGACCCAACCCGGTCAACGAGGGTAAAATCCGTGTTGACGGGTTTTGGGCCGGGTTTGGGTTTAAACCCGTCTACTATTCATCGGGTTGGGTTGGGTTTGGGTTTAGATAAACCCGACCCATGGGTACCCGCCACACCCATATAATTAATTTTTTTGGTATATTTAATATTCTAAACAACTAATCTTATTTATGTTTGTGGAGACATGTCTAATTTTTTCTTTCTAATTGTGTAGAATGAAGTTGATGTTATCTAGTGGAGAGTGAAGAAACTTAATTGAAAGGAAGAAGCTTTCAATTAATCATGTTATTTATGGATAATTTGTGATTTGCTTCAATTTTCTTGAGTTTTCTAGATTGGTGTTGAACAATTTATATAGTTAATTTGTGATTTTCTTGAATATTCTAGAATGGTGTTTTAAATATGGATAATTTGTATTCAGAGATTGATATTTGACTTTAATTTTGATAGGAACTTGTTATTGTAAATTTTTTATGACAAAAACCCGTGGATACCCAGCGGGTTGGGTTTGAGTTTTTCAAACCCAGTAGGTTTTACCCCGGTTTTTTTTTTCACGGATAAACCCATGGGGTTGGGTTTGGCAAAAATTGACCCAACCCGACCCATTGCCATCCCTAGAAGGAGCTAGTCTCGTCGCGAGTTGAAGAGCCCGACGTGGTCGCGAGATCTAGACAACGTTGGCGTCAAGCGTAGAGCCCGACATGGTCGCGAGATCTAGATCGCGTTGGCATCAAATCTAGAACCCAACGTGGTCGCGATATTTAGACCGCGTTGACGTCAAGCGTAGAGCCCGACATAGACTGCGTTGACGTCAAATTTAGAGCCCGACGTGATCGTGAGATCTTGACGACGTTGGCATCAAATTTAGAGCCCGATGTGGTCGTGAGATCTAGACCGCGTTGGAGTCAAGTTTAGAGCCTAACGTGGTCGTCAAATTTAGAGCTCGACGTGGTCGCGAGATCTAGACCGCGTTGGCGTCAATTCTAATAGCCCGACGTGGTCGCGAGGTCTAGACCACGTTGGCGTCAAGCTGGATAGGCCTCGTCGCGAGATCCAGACACCATGTTGGCTTCGAGATGTAGAAGGCTCTCGTTTTGAGATCTGGAATGGCCATGGTAAAAGGGAGTCAAGTAACAAGATATCAACTCCAAGAGAAAGGACAAGGGGTTAACATAGCAACTGCCGATTATCCCCGTACAATAACACGTCAGCCACGTCTGAGGAAGAAAAGGAGCAGTTCTTTTGGAAGTTACTCTCCAGGTGATTTTTTATACGCCGGTTGTCACTTCAAGGCTATAAATAAGAGAAGGAGTTGACAGAGAAAGGGTTCGCCAAATTCACACCAGACAACACAATGTCAAATTTTATCCCTCTATCCTTTCCTCTGCAATTTTAGCCGTAGTCGTAGATCTAGAGCTCTCACTGAACCTCCACAGGAGTAGGAGTAACTTAAGGTAGCTCTGTCTCGAGAGTCGTATAAACATCGAACACCCTCGTTCGAACTTTGTTTGAAGAGGGGTAAACCGTGTTTAGTGATCGTTGTCCAAAGAAGTCAAGGTGTATTTCAATTCGTTTCAAAGCAAGTTTTCTCGCCGCAAAATTTTTTTGGCACACCTGGTGGGACCCTTGTGGTAGATTTGATGGCTCCGAGGTGGAGGAATCAAGAAGGTGACGTTCTGGCTGGTTTCATGGAGGAGCAGGTGGCCAACATCGAGCATGGCCAAGTGTCCGACGCGGTGACCGGAGGAAATGGCGGAGCGGAGATCTTGGTGGCGACCGCGCCTGGTGAAGATCTCGGTGAGGCAGTGGGGGCCCTTCGTCAGATGATGGAGGAGAACCGTAAGATGGTGGCAGAGAACCATCAAGCCATAGAAGAGAATCGCAAGATGGTGTCAGAGAACCGTCGAGCCGCAGAAGAGAACCGCAAGATGGTGGCTAACAACCGTCAAGCCACGAAGGAGAATCGCCAACCCACGGAGGAGAATCGCCAAATGCTGATGGAGAACCGTCGCATGTTGGAGGAGACTCGGGCTGGTACTCATCAGGTAAATTCTCAAATGGTCTGTCCAATTCTCGCTTAGATAGACGTTTGAGTCAATTGCTTGAAGTAGTTAACAAAAATACAAATAAGGTGGATCAACTCCGACAGTCTTTATGTAGACCAGTAGTGCAGTCAAGTGCTTTTCCATTATATGCCACAGGCCTAACGCCTATTAATAGTGTTCTTTCTCCCGCCGTTGGTTGGAATGGCCAACCACGGCAAGATAACTTGCCACCTCAGACGGCAAGCCAACCACCTCCACCTCCACATCGAGTAGATGATGTTGAGATTCCCGCTACTGCTCAAGTGGGGGAGTCGTCACATGGACGCGTGGGAGTTGAAGTGGTACCCCCGTGTGGTGAGAACCTTGCCACCATAATCAACATCGAGTTGAGCAGCCACCCGTACAAGTGGGTGCTCGTCCCTCTATCTCGGAGGCAAGACCCTAAGTGGCTCCCATGAATTTGGGAGTAGGAGGAGGTCTAGGTGGCAACATGGATCAAATCCCACCACGAGGCTACCCAACTCCAATGCCACCCCATTTCAATGGGCATGGCACGGACCCCATTGGGTTTGTACCGTATGGGGGGCAACAGGGGGCGCATGAAGCCAACACCCTTAGGGATCAAGTGGATCAACTCCTCACAGAGCAGTTTGGCATGGGAGTAAGACCTGCCATGCCACCTGTATACCGTAAGTCGTACCCATAATGGATAGACATACTACATTCATTCCCAAGGGGATTCAGAGTTCCCGAGTTTGCCACATTTACAGGAACTGGAGATCCGTCCACTATAGAGCACGTTGGATGCTTTACGGTCCAATGTGAGGATGTATGAGATTTCATAAAGTTAAGATTGTTCGTCAACTCGTTGATAGGGCCAACTTTTGCTTGGTACGTCAACTTGCCGTCTAACTCCATCCAAACTTGGCAGCAAATGGAGCAAGTCTTCCACGCTTAATTTTATAGATTCGAGCCTGAGGTGACCATGGCTGACTTGGCACGTATGCGCCAACAACCAGGAGAATCGGTGGAGCATTTCTTGACTAACTTCAAGAATGCTCGTAATCGTTGCTTTGTCAATTTGACGGAGAGGGAGTTCGTCAAGCTGGCACAAAGGGGTTTGAGTTTTGAACTAAGGAAGAAATTCTAAGATAGGGAGTTCTCTGACTTGTTTCAACTCATTTCTTGTTCCGTGAGGTAGGAGTCTCTTCTACACGAGGAAGAGAATCGTAGGAGTGCCTCGAGGGGATCATACTTCCCAAACTTAGACTCTAACATCAATCATGTTGGCCACGAGGTCAATGAGGTTGAGGTAGACTTGGCTGAGATAACTCCAGGGAAGCCATACGTCTGTGCTTCCTTGTCTAAAATTGAAGATGGGCGACAAGGGGGGAGACCCAATCGTGTACCCATTCAGCCGAGGAAGTACCCCTTTGATGTCTCGAAGGCAGACTTGATTTTTGACCAACTCTATAAGGATGGTCAAGTCAAGTTGACAGGGGGGATGTCTTTCCCTCACCCGAGAAGTTAAAAGGGAAGAAGTATTGTAAGTGACATAATAGCATGTCACTGCCACTGATTCTTGTGTGGTGTTCTGTAATGTCTTGCAGGATGCCATTGAAAAGGGACTCATCAAGTTCCCTGAGTCAAAGAAGGATGCCATGTTGGTGGACACTGATCCGTTCCCAAGGTGCTTGGCGTCAACATGGTCAACCCAGACTTCTCCAAAGTCGAGTGGCCACGCTTCAAACTGGTGTTAGATACAACGCCACCTTGAAGAAGCCCCAACGTGTTTTTCGAGCAAAGGAGCTCGTCGGGTACCAAGAAGGCCAGCCCGACCACAATGATGACCGAGGAAGTTAACAAGTTGTGTGCTCGGTGCAAGAAGAGTCTCAAGATTGACGAAGAGAAGTCGAGATGTCCATCTAGTTGGCAAGTGGTGCCCAAGATGCCACATCAACCCAAAGCCATACATACTGGTAATAAACATGATAAGTGTAGGGGACATGGGGACAAGTCCAACAAGGAAAGACATGAGAGAGGCAGAAAGGGTTGTCATAGTCTTGCGAATTTGGCTAAGTCTAGACAAGGGAGCATGTCACCCACCATGAAGAATGGAGTAGAGGACATCTCCAAGAAGACACAACAAGTCAAACCCGTACATGGATTTTGTGAGCGTGAGATCATGGTCAAGGGTGGACATGGGGGAATGTGTAAGAAGTCACCATACACACCAACCAAACATGCTTGTAGAAAGAACCTGCGGTGGTTGAGTGCTAAGTATAGGGGCCAACAAGGTTTAGATCTTGAAAAACATAATCAAGCGGGCCATATAGGTGGCAGTCGACTTGGTAAATTTGGACAT